TGCCCCCCTGCAGGGGGATCCTGAGCGAAAAACGCAGAATGCTCAGCAACATGTCCTCCAAATGGGCAAACATAGTTTGATAAAATTCGTCCCCGTATTATTGTTTGACTATTTGTGAATATTCCTCCTGTAGAGGGACAGGCCCGACTTAACGGTAGCTGGCTTTTGGGGGGGGAGGGTCCGAGGTGGGATTTTATCCATAACCACCGCCTGGGGGGCCGATCTTCGCGGACGATCCACAGGCGGTGGATATGGATATATTCGAACCCCGGGGGTCAACATAGATCCGTATCCACCGCCCGCCTGGGCACGAGGACGTCGGTTCCCAGGCGGTGGATATGGATAAATCCCCGCCTGACAGGGGGGGGCCTTCGTCGCCTTGGCTGGACGCAGCCCGGGAAACTGATGCGCTTGGACCCAGGGATGCTCTGGGGGACGGATCTTCGGCTGCCGTTGTCCCGAGTCGCTCAGGAGGGGAAAAAAACACACAGACACAAAGAATCGTCGACTTCTCAAGGGGATATATATATATATATATATATATATATATATGAGTAGGCCGGGGGGGGGGGGGCACATCGGTGCCGTCATCCCCCATGGCCGCCCCCCCGAACCTTTGGGGGGTCACAGGCCCCCCGGGACTGCCCCGGGCCGCTTCCAAATTGCCCACGACAGGCCACGCGGGCCGTACAGATGGTCAAGAAAGCCTGAAGAGGCCCCGAAGGCGCCCGAGAGCGCCCCAAGAGGGCCCCAAGAGGGCCTTCAAGAGGCAAAACTCTGCCCATTTCCTTTGTAAAGCGTACGTTTTCAGCATACTCGCTGGCTTCGTCTTCACAGTGCCCCAGACGCCCCCGCGGAGCCCCAACACAGCCCAAGAGAGAGCCAATAGGGCCCCAGACGGCCCAACAGGGTCAGCTTGTGGGGCTCACGGAACCCCCCAAGACGGCCCAAGAGGCCCCAAAGCCGGCCCAGGAGGCTCCCACGACGGCCTCAGGGAGGCCCAAGAAGGCCTCGTTCGAAATCATGTTCCCAGAAGCCTCTCCGGGAACATGATTTCTGGGTTCCGAGGACGCCCAAGAGGCCCATAAGGCATCCTCAGCGAGGCCCCAGAGGGCCCGAGATGGCTTGAAGATGGCCGAAGATGGCCCCAAGAGGGCCTTCAAGAGGCAAACATCGTCTCATTTCCATCGTAAAACGTACATTTTCAGCATACTCGCTGGCTTCGTCTTCGCAGTGCCCCAGACGCCCCCGCGGAGCCCCAACACAGCCCAAGAGAGACCCAACTAGGGCCCCAGACGGCCCAACAGGGTCAGCCTGTGGAGCTCACGGAACCCCCCACGACGGCCCAAGAGATTCCGAAGCTGGCCCAGGAGGCCCCCAAGACGGCCTCAGGGAGGCCCAAGAGGGCCCCGTTCGAAATCATGTTCCCAGAAGCCTCTCCGGGAACATGATTTCAGGGTTACCAGGGCCCCCTAGAGGGCCCCAGGACAGCCTCAGCGAGGCCCAAGAGGGCCCGAGATTGTTTCAAGATGACCGAAGAGGGCCCCAAGAGGGCCTTCAAGAGGCAAACATCGTTTCATTTCCATCGTAAAACGTACATTTTCAGCATACTCGCTGGCTTCGTCTTCACAGTGCCCCAAACGCCCCCGCGGAGCCCCAACACAGCCCAAGAGAGACCCAACTAGGGCCCCAGACGGCCCAACAGGGTCAGCCTGTGGGGCTCACGGAACCCCCCAAGACGGCCCAAGAGATTCCGAAGCTGGCCCAGGAGGCCCCCAAGACGGCCTCAGAGAGGCCCAAGAGGGCCCCGTTCGAAATCATGTTCACAGAAGCTTCTCCGGGAGCATGATTTCAGGGTTACCAGGACCCCCTAGAGGGCCCCAGGACAGCCTCAGCGAGGCCCAAGAGGGCCCGAGATTGTTTCAAGATGGCCGAAGAGGGCCCCAAGAGGGCCTTCAAGAGGCAAAAATCCGCCCGCCCCCGTAGTTAACCGTACATCTTTAGCACACTCCCTTGCTTCGTCTTCGCAGTACCCCAGACGCCCTCGAGGAGCCCCAAGACAGCCCAAGAGAGACCCAACTAGGGCCCAAGACGGCCCAAAAGGCTCGTCCTGTGGGGCTGACGGAACCCTCCAAGAGGGCCCAAGAGGCCCCAAAGCCAGCCCAGGAGGCCCCCAAGACGGCCTCAGGGAGGCCCAAGAGGGCCCCGTTCGAAATCATGTTCCCGGAAGCCTCTCCGGGAACATGATTTCAGGGTTCCCAGGACGCCTAAAGACAGCCCCCAGACATGCCGAAGATGATTTCAGGACGGCCGACGACGCCGCCAAAACGCCCCAAGAGCGCCTCCAGAGGCCCCTCCAAAGGGCTCCAGAATCCGAACATTATCAATTTTTCAGTGGTTTTTGAAGCATTCTTGCGCTCTCCCATGTTCCGCCTCCCCACGGTCCCGGACCGCATCAGAGGCCCTTCATATCGCTCCAAGACGGCCGAAGAGGCTCCCAAGAAAGCCCAGAGACGGCCCAGGAGGTTTCCCAGATAAGTCAAGAGGACCTCGAGAGCGCCCTAGAGCGACCCAAAGGGCCCGAAGAGCGCGACATTTCAAGGTCTCCGGCCTGAGAGGCTCCTAGGACAGGCCATCAAAAGGCTCCCAAGAAGCCCCGTGTTGCTCCCAAGAGGCCCCCCAGAAGCCCCAATAGGCCCCCAAGGGGCCCCCAGGGAAGCCCCCTGCGGGCCCCCAAGACACTTTGGTAAATCGTATTTCCCAGATAGCTTTCCGGGAACATGATTCCTTGGGCTTCCGCCCGCCGCCCCAACCGTGTTTCCAATAGGCTTGCTGACAAGGCCAAAAGGCGCCCCTTAGTAAGCCCCCAGAGGCTCCCCTCTTAGAGAGCCGAACAAATCATGCTCCCGGAAAGCTTCCCGGGAACATGATTCTCTATCTCGGAGTAGGCCCGGGGGGGGGGGGGGGCGGGCCGCTGCCTGTTCCCCCCAGCGGTGCCCACCAGGGGTTGCGGGGGGGGGGGTACAGAGCTCCCGAGGAGGCCCGAGCCCGCCCCGAAGCAGGCCACGACAGGCTAGAAGGGTCCCGAGAGGGCCCAAGACGGTCAGGACGAACTCAAGAGGCTCCCCAAGAGGGCCCTGGAAGGCGAGATTCACTCGTGTTCCGAGTGTTTTAGATTTTGGCGTTCTCGTTTTTCCGCTTTCTGGCGCTCCCTTCACGGCCTCGGAGACCCTTCAGATCGCTCCAAGAAGGCCCACGAGGCTTCGACGAGGGCCCCAAGACGGCCCAGGATGCTCCCCAGACAACCAAAGTGTGCCCCAAGAGCGCGCCAAGAGAAGGCCCAGAGGGGTCCCGAGGCGGCCCGGGCCCGCCCCGAAGCAGGCCGCGACAGGCTAATGGAGGTCCCGAGAGGGCCCAGGACGGTCCCAAGAGGGTCCGAAGACGCCCAAGCTGCCCTCAAGACGGCCGACGAGGACTCCAACACGCTCCAGGACGGACTCAAGAGGCTCCCCAAGAGGGCCCTGGGAGGCAAGATTCACTAAGTTTCGATGGTTTTTGAAGGATTTAGGCGTTCTCGCTTTCCCCACTTCCCAGCGCTCCCTCTGAGGGAGCGCTGGGAAGTGGGGAAGTCCCTCACAGCCTCGCTCCCTCTGAGGGAGCGCCTCGCTCCCTCCGAGCGAGGCTGTGAGGGAGTCCCTCACAGCCTCGCTCGGAGGCCCTCGAGATCGCTCCAAGACGGGCCACGAGGCCCCGAAGAGGGCCCCAAGACGGCCCAGGAGGCTCACCAGACAACCCAACTGTGCCCCAAGAGTTCCCCAAGAGAGGGCCCAGAGGGGGACCGCCAACCGATATTTCAAGGTCTCTGGCCCTGGAGGCCGCCTGTAGGCCCCCTGAGGCCACCAAGAGACTTTCACGAAGCCCCGTGAGGCGCCCAAGAGGCCCCCAGGAAGCCCCAAGAGACCCCCAAGGGGCTCACAGGGAACGCCCAAGAGGCCCCCCAACACATCCCAAGAAATCATGTCCCCAGAAAACCTTCAGGGGACATGGTTCATCATGGGCCCGAGATTTCACGGAGGCCCCCCAAGGGGCCCCCAGGGAACGCCCAAGAGACCCCCCAACACACCCCAACAAACCATGTCCCCAGAAGACCTTCCGGGGACATGGTTCATCATGGGCCCGCGAGTCTCCGGAGGCTTCGAAGTACCATCATGCTACAGGAGAGCTGTCCGGAACGTTGATTGGGAACATGACTGATCGCCTTCTCGCGGCCCTCCGCAGATCGTTTCGCACAAAGTTGCCCCAAGTGCCTTCTTGAACCGACGACGACGACGAAACGTCGAAGACGGCGGCGACGACGACGACGACGACGACGACGCGCCCCAATAGGCGACGACGACATTTCGTCGACGACGACGACGACGACGACGACGACGACGACGACGACGACGACGGCACGCCCCACAGGCTCCCCAAGACGCCCCCAAACCCATGCTCCCAGAAGTCCTTCTGGGAACCCGATTCATGCGGCCTCCGCCCCCCTACACAACCATTTTCCTCGAAGAGCAGTGAATTCGTCAAGGCCTGGGGCCTGTTAGAACCCGAGCGCGCGCGAAGCGCGCGCGATGGTTCTAGTATATACTTATATATATATATATATATATATACACATGGAATATATGGGACGTTGGGGGTCAGACGAACATCCAGGGAATATGGAAGCATTGAGAATCCTTTGGTGGCGAGCGAGGGGGGAAGTGAGAAGGAGAGGCCTTCTCAGAAGGCAACGGGACTCCTCAGAAGCCCTCGCGCTTTCTGGGAGGTGTTCTGTGCCTTCGGCGAAGGCTTCGAACACTCTTGAGAAGGCCTGGGAACTTCGGAGCCCGGAGCTTTCTGAGAAGGCCCGCTCCGTCTCCCCCCCCCCCCCTGGGCTCGCCGCCGAGGGCGGCGCTGCCCCCGGGCCCCTCCACTCGCCCTCCCCCGAGGGGCGGCGGCGGTGGCCGATGGTCGGGCCGTCGTGCGGCGGCGCGGACGGCGCAGGGCGGACCCAGGGGGGGGGGGGGAGGGCAGAGCCCCGACGATGCGTATTGGAGAGGCCTGACGGCCGGTGCCGCCGACCCTGATCGAAGGGGCTCGGAGAGGGAGGAGGAAGCGAAGGAGGAGGACGGAGGTGGAGGAGGAAGAGGAGGAGGATCAGGAGGAGGAGGAGGAGTGGACGGCGCAGGGCGGACCCAGGGGGGGGGAGGGCAGAGCCCCGACGATGCGTATTCTGTCAGTTCGGGATTTTTTGTTTCGGTTCTTCGATGGCGAGCGCTGTTCGTTGGCGTCGAGCGAGGGGGGGAATCAGAGGGAGACGGTCTTCTCAGAGGGCGGCGGGGCTTCTCATAAGGCCTCCGGCCTTCTGAGAGGTTTTCCGTGACTTCGGGGAAGGCGTAGAAATGTCTCAGAAGGCCGGGGGCCTTCCAAGCCCTCTGAGAAGGCCCAACCCTTCTCTCTTCCCCCCCCCCTGGGCTCGCTGCCGAGTTCGGACGGGGCTAGGACGCGGAGAAGTCCGTTCCAGAGAGCGTTCCGGAACGCTCCCAGAGCGTTCCGGAACGCTCTGAGAAGCCGCGTCCTGATGCATCCCCCAGGGCCGCCGGATCCCAGAAATGTTCGATTCATCCTCACCCGAGTTGATCCTCGTTCTCGTTTCGTCTGACCTGTCCGACATCGAGCCTGTAGTGGTCCTCGGCCTGTGCGAACGTGTGCTGGACCATGGTGCTGGGAATCCAGCCCGTGCCTTTTCCTGCCTGCCAGCCTTCCTTCGAATCGGAGGTTGCGCCTCGGCCTGTTCCCTGTTCCCTGTCCGTCACCGGGCCCTGGGGCTGCCCCCGGGGGAGGGGTCGGGGCCTCGATCTGGGGCCGCGCGTTGACAGAGACGCATCATCGGATGTCTGGGTATCAGGCGGCCCGCGGCCTGCGGTGAGTCCCGCCACCGTGCCAGCCCAGCACTCTGGGTGGCGACTGTTCGAGGGGGCACGGGAGGCCGTCACGTGTGACAGTTCTTGTCTCCAGGGTCGGGATAGCGTTGATGTTGTTGTTGTTGTTGTTGTTGTTGTTGTTGTTGTTGTTGTTGTTGTTGTTGTTGTTGTTGTTGTTGTTGTTGTTGTTGCTGTTGCTGTTGCTGTTGCTGTTGCTGTTGCTGTTGCTGTTGCTGTTGCTGTTACTGTTGCTGTTGCTGTTGTTGTTGTTGTTGTTGTTGTTGTTATTGTTGTTGTTGTAATTGTTGTTGTTGATGATGATGATGATGATGATGATGATGATGGTGATGGTGATGGTGATCGTGATGTTTATGATGATGGTGATGATGATGATGCTAACGATGATGACGACGATGATGATGATGATGATGCTGATGATGATGATGATGGTGATGGTGATGTTGATGGTGATGGTGATGGTGATGATGATGACGATGATGGTAATGCTGATTGTTATGATGCTGCTGATGATGATGGTGATGACGATGACGGTGATGGTCATGCTGATGGTGGTGATGCTGACGATGGTGATGAGGATGAGGATGATGAGGATGATGATGATGATGAGGATGATGATGAGGATGATGATGATGCTGATGATGATGATGATGACGATGGTGATGCTGGTCATGATGATGCTGATGCTGCTGCTGATGCTGCTGGTGATGATGATGCTGGTGGGGATCATGATGATGATAATGGTGTTGATCATACTGATGAGGATGAGCATGATGCTGGTGGTGCTGATGATTATGATTCTGTGTATGAGCATGATGCTGATGATGTTGATGACGCATATGATGCTGATGACGATGTTGTGGATGAGCAAATTATCATCACTAATACGACGATGCTTACCAACACCCCCCCCCGCGCCCCCACCACGTCCCGGCACCCCCCACCCCACGAGAGTCTCGAGAGCTCAGTTCTTGGGACCCCCCACGCGACAAGTGCTGGCCCGAAACCTACCAACACCCCTCCCCGCGCCTCCACCACGTCCCCGCACCCCCACCCTACGAGAGCTCAGTTCCTGGGACCCCCCACGCGACAATTTCTGGCACGAAACCTACCAACACCCCCCACCGCGCCCCCACCACGCCTCCACCACGTCACGGCACCACCACCCCACAGAATCTTACACACACGCATTCACACACACACAAACACACGCAAACACGCACAAACACACACAAACACAAACACACACACACACACACTCACTCACTCACTCACTCACACACACACACACGCAAACACACACACAAACACCACCGCGACCCCCCCCCCGCGCCCACCACACGAGAGTTCAGTTCTTCGCAACCTCCACACGACAATTGCTGGCCCGAAACCTGTCGCGCCCCAACCACGCCCCCACCACGTCCTGGCACCCCCACCCCACGAGAGCTCGGTTCTTGGGACCCCCCACACGACAATTTCTGGTCCGAAACCTACCCCCCCCCTGCGCCCCCACCGCGCCCCCACCACGCCCCCCGGCACCCCCCACGAAAGCTCCGATCTTGGGACCCCCCACGCGACAATTTCTTGCCCGGAACCTGCCAACACCCCCTCCACCGCGCCCCCACCGCGCTTCCACCACGTCCCGGCACCCCCACCCAACGAGAGCTCCGTTCTTGGGACCCCCCACACGACAATGTCTGGCACAAAACCGACCGCACCCTCCACCGCGCCCCCGCCACGCCCCCGCCACGTCCCGGCACCCCCACCCCACGAGAGCTCAGTTCTTGGGACCCCCCACACGACAATTTTCGGCCCGAAACCTACCAAGAATCCCCACCGCGCCCCCACCACGCCCACACCACGCCCTGCCCCCCCCCTCGAGAGTTCAGTTCTTGGGACGGTCCAGGATGGCCTCATGTTGGCCTCCGAGGCCCCGGAGTCCCCTAAGACCGTTCCGAGACGGCCCTGGAGGCCCGCAAGGAAGCCCCACGCGGCCGAGGAGGACAAGTTTGGAGAGGGGTGTGTAGAAGTGGACCCTCCTGCTCGACGACGACGGCGGGAAGGAGAGAGGCCCGACCACAATGAAGACCTCGACATCCAATGCTTGTCTTGCCTCCTCAGGCCTTGCGGGGAGTCGTTTGGGTTTGCATTGTGGCGTCTTGAAGTCTCTGTGGGCCGTGTTCCACTCTGCCTTTTCGGCGAATGATTCGCCCTTCCTCTTAGCCGCTCCCCTGCACCTAAAGGATTGAAACCAGGAGGGGTTTGAGCACCCAAGAATGCTCAAGCTTGAGCCATCGCGGGCGTTCAGACGCTTGAAACAGGCTCCACCAAAACCCACGCCAGGCCTAAAAGAAGCCCCTCGAGACGGCCCCAAAAGCTCCCGACATCGCCCTAAGAGGGCTCCAGAAGCGGCCCAATATGCCCACGAAAGCCACAGGACGATTCCAAAAGCAGATACCGCCCTCCAAACGATACTCCGCCTGGCGGGTTGGGCCGTGCGAGACCTCTCTGACAGAGTGTTTGGCACAATCTTTGCCCCCCTTCGCCAGTGCCTGGTCAAAAACCTCCCTGAAGTCCCTCCGAGGGGGCCCCACTCTGCCGCCGAGGTCCGGAACAGCCCGGGGACGACCCAAGAGCGCCCCAAGACGGTCCAAGAGAGTCCCAAGACTTGTCCAAGAGAGCCTCCAGCTCCAGATCGCTCCAAGACGCCCAAGAATGTTTCCAAACGGCACAAAACGCCTCCAAGACGGCCCAAGAGGCTTCCAAGAGCACCCCCAAGAGAGCCCCAAGAGACAACAATCACATATATTTTTCTTCGGTTTTTGAAGGATTTTCGCGTTCTCGCCATTTCGGCTTGCCGACGCTCCGAGATCGCCCCAAAACGGCCCAACAAGCCCCCAAGAGGGCTCCAAGACAGCCCAAGAGGGCCCCCAAACGGCCCCCAGGACGGCCCAAGAGGCGAGGCGCGGGGAGGACCCTAGGAGGGGTTGCGAGGGCTCAGAGGCAGGGGTAGGTATGAAAAGCGCGCTGGAGAGAAGACTTACACAAAGCACTGCTGAAGACCATGCTGTGGGTCTCACACGCCGTACCCGATGGGGCGGCGGATCGCTTCGCGCATTCCGCCGGCCCATATTGCCTCGCCGCTTGTGGGGGCCGTGTTGGGGCCTCTTGATGGTTTCTGGGAGGCAGTTTTGAGACCTCTTGGGGGCCGTGCTGGGGCCTCTTGGAGCCTCTTTGGGGCCTCTTAGGGCTTCTTGGGGTGCCTCTTGGGGGCCCGTTTGGGCCTCTTGGGGCCTTTGGGGGCCTGTTGGAGCTGAAGGCTGGACTTTTCGGTTCTCAGTCCCCGTCTTGGATCTTGGGCCTCTCTTGGGGCCGTTTTGGGGCCCTCTTGGGCCAATATGGGCGCCTCTTGGGATGCCGTGTTGGGGCCCTCTTGGAGGCTTCTTGGGCCGACTTGGGGCGGTCTCGGGGGCCTCTTGGGCCGTCTTGGAGCGTTGAAAGCCGAAAAGACGAGAAACGTCGCGCATGCGAAAAATGCACGTTTTCCAAAGGGAATGGGGCGATGTTTGCTTGTTGGGGCCCTCTCAGAGAGCCTCTTGAGGCTCTCTTGGAGCTTTTTCGCGGGGCCGCCACGCGCGCGCGAACTAGAAATATTGTTAACCTGTGTCCAGAGATCTTAGCACGCCTCTGCCCGTTGGGCCGGCGAATTACGTTCGCATTCGTGCTCTGTTTGGTCCCTCGTGGAAGCATCCTAGGCCGTCCTGAGGCCACATTGGGCCGCCTCGGGACCATTTTGGGCAGTCTTCGAGGCATTTGGGGCCATCTTGGTGTCCGTGGTTGCTTGCGTGGGCCGTCTTGCGCGGCGCATGTCCATCGTTCCCCACGGGGGGTCGTGGCCTTGGGGGCGCGGGGGCGTGGCCTCGGCGGGGGGGGGCGGGCTACGCGCTCAGCGTGCAGGGAAATGCTCGTGGTGTTGCGGGGTGGGGCCGCATTGCACGACCCAGGAACCCTGCCCGACAGTCCTTGACAATTATTCCACGCGTTGTGGCGGATTTCCTTAGTCGTCCTTCGTTGTTGGCCTCTCGTTCCGAATCCGCATCGCCACGTTTCTCTTCCATCTCGGCCTCTGGGGACCGCTCTCGACGCCGCAAGCGAGGAGTCGGAGGTGGATCCGCGGCGGACGTCCGCCCCCTTGGCAGCTGGTTCGATCCGATGCCTCTCGGACCCGCGGACTGAAAGCAGCTGACCGTGTGCAGCCTGTCGCGGGGGTCGCCCAAAGGGGGACCCGCAGGGCTCTCGGGGCCCTCCACGGAGCCCGGGACTGCCAGAACGATGCAGGATGAGGGGAAGGCTCGGGGGCCCCCAAACGGGGTGGTGACCACACCGTGTGGTGAGTCGGTGGGGATTCGGGGTCACCACGCGGTTTTGGGACTTGGGTCGTTCTCCGAGGATGTCTCGGGCGACTGGAGCCTCCAGGGTCCCAAAACCGTGTGGTGACGGACCGTGCGGTGAGGTCTTTGCGGATTTCGAGGTCACCGCCGGGTCTGTCACCACACGGTTTTGGGACACCCAAAAGGCCCCAGGGTCCAGGACCCGTTCCCCTCAAGACCCGCTCGCCCCATGCTGAGGGGGTCAGCCCGAGCTGGGGCCAGCAGGTCCCCGCTCGGGCCTGGAAGCCACGCGGGGCCGACCCCCCAACGGGAGTGGCTTCGTGGCGCCAGCCCGGCCTCGCGACGGGGCCCCGTGGCTGTCGGGGGCGGAAAAGAGGGGGGTGATGACTAGGGGGGGGGTGGATATCATGGCGGGGGCCATGAGATCTCCCCAGATTTCATGGCGCCTCTTCTTGCTTCATTGCGTCCCTGGCCCCCCCGCTGGGCCGCGCACGTGCCGCCGGTCATGATTTGCGCCCCCCCCCTCTTGCTTGGCATCGCTCGGACGTGTGCGGTGTTTCCTCGGCGAGGACCATCGAGGAGCATTCTTGATCACTTGGCGAAAAAGCCACGCACGAAACCGAACAAAACACAGGGAATGGATGTCCGAGCGATGGCCAGCTTGGACACCCCCCTCTTGGCCGCTCCCGAGGCCGGCCCAGGGTGGGCGCTGACCAGCGGCTCGTGCCGGCGCCTCTGCAGAGGCAGAGTCCGGGGCACAGGGGGACGCGTCCACCTTCAGTCGCCCACTGATCGCCGAGGGGGGCCCGATAGCCCCGACCTGTCCAGGAGCGAGCGGGTTCACTTTCGGAGGCCTGTGCTCAAGTCGGGCCTGTGCCTCTACAGGCCCAAAATCCCCCTGTATGGGGGACACGCCCGACTTGGGCCTATGCCCGATCTATCGGCGATGCATCGCCGATTCCAAGACGGTGTGTCCCTCATACTGCCAAGTATCCCGCTTTTTCCCACGTTTGCGTTTTGGGAGCATCCTGGAAGACCCTCGTTCGCCACGGCCAGCTTCGCCTCGGAATGCTTACGAAGACGCACCGCGGGAGAGGTCCGAGAAGTAGTGACTTCAGTATTTGTTATGCTCGTCCCTACCTCGAGATTGGAGGACCGAGGTTCGATGTTCCAGGGTTTCAGGTGTTGGGGCGCTTCCTGTGCTCGTTTGAACATTTTGTAGGATTCTCGTCGCCACAGTTGAATGCGCCTCGAGATTCTGTTTAGAAGCAACTCGGGACACGTTTGGGTGGAGGGTGGGGGATCCTCTTCCTCCGACGTTGTGATGAAACACGTGGCGGCGGTTTGTCTTGAGTGGCCAGCCACCGGGGGGCATTGCCAGGCTGAGGAATCATAAAACATCGACTGCGGGCGAACGCGAATGTCTTGGGGAGGACTCCGTGGCCCGCGCAGTGGGGAAGTTCCAGGGCCGTTGAGCAAACAATTTCAGGGGGGAAATGTTTCCATCCACGGCCGCAGATGTTCCAGGCTTGCAAATGTCCAGGCTTGCCAGAGTCCCCCTCCGCGTGGTCTTGAGAAGCAGGACACCGGTTTCGCCCCCCCTCGCCACTTGGACCCCAGGGCAATGCCAACCCACCTTCTCATTACCACCAGTGTTTGCTGCCGCGTGCAATTCTTGCCTGAATTGATGCTGTTACCTCTGCAGCTGGCAGCTGCTCGAAGTGCTGCCAATTCTGCTGTGGTTGTTACACGTTCCCACGTTGGCGAATGCTGATGTACAACATGTTGTTCGTTGTTGTTATGTACAGGTGCAACTCCTGCTGACTTTGGCCGCTGCTGTTGCTGGGGCTTTGTTATCGCTAGCGCTTCTGGGACGTGTGTTGTCTTTATTGGTATTGCTGGTGATGTGGTGATCAAGGTGTGGGATGGCAGTTCGGTTCCACAGTGGAGGGAAGGCCGTACATTAGTTGATTTCCCCTAGGCCCGAGAACCGTAAGATGAGACGCCAGGGCTAGGGCTTCCGAGGAGCTTGTTGGTTGGTTGTTGGACAGTTTTCCGTCTTCGTTTTGGGAGCCTGCTGGAGTTCTTCGGATCCATTTCGAGAGGTCTACGGCCGTCTGGGAGTTGTCTTGAGGCGGGCTGTTTAAAGGTAGTATTGGCCCAGTCTCAGGCCGTCGCCTGCTTCCCTCTCCCTGCTTCTGCTGCTGCTGTCCACACCTCGCGCTGGATTTGCAACATCACGGCTTTGTAGATGCGGATTTGGCCGGCTGGGTTTTTCATTGTACACATTGCCATGGGTATTGGATTTGTTGCGCTGCCGTGGGAGTCTCAGGCCGTCCTCGGTGGTCTTAGGCCCGCTGGGGGCTTCTTTGGGGCCGCTGTGCGTGCGTCTCGTGGGTATCGCGCGTTCTCTTGCGGCCTCTCTTGGTAGAAGGGTGCCCGGCAGAAGCCGTACTAAACAACATTGAACGGTTCCAGGTCTTTGTGCCCTGTCGGGGTCCTTTTGGATGGCTTCTTGGAACACGCGGGCAGCTCAGATCGACGGGCGTAAGGGTTCCCGCCAGGCAGCACGCAGCTGGCCAAATTGCAGAATTCAGCCCAAGAGGTGTACGGCGCCGAAGCACACGTTTTTCCTGCCGCGGCCTTTTGTCCTAAAGATCTGTAGTCAGGCTGCGCTTCTCGGTGAATTTGTGGGCTCTGCATTCACCACAGCAGTCGGTTATTCGGCTAGTGTGACCGCAGCTCGTTGCAGAGTGCATGGCGTGTAGCTGCATTCGAAGGACAGTCTGCATCACCATATACTTGCGGAGGCCCGCGCGGATTTCTCGGATCAAAGCTCGGCCCCCATGGCGGCGCCTCCGGCGCCGCGAGGGTGATTCCAGCGCCGGCCCAAGACATCCGCGATGACCTTCCACAGTTTATGTAAATGTTCATGCTTTTTGGTTGTTCCTCTATTCATTGAGATGCGCCAGCCCTGCGGAGGGCTACCAGGAGCACGTTCGAGTACAGCGTCAGCCGCCTGGTGGAGGGCCAGAAGCTCGGGCTCGACCTAGTCTTCTCGGCCCAGCAGGCGTGGTGCCCATCTTTCCACTAGTCGCCTCCCCCCCTGCGCGGCAGTATGACATCCGACAGGCGCACGACGTGAACCATGCGTGTACAGTTGTTGCAGGCAAGCATGGTCGCAAGGCGGGGTTGGCACAGCATGCGAGGGAAGTCGATACGATGATCTCTGCGATCTCGTGCTTTGGGAGGGAACGCAAATACAGCAAGCCTAGGCCACACATCTGCAAGGCGGCAGGGAGGGCCAGGATCAGACACCCCGTGCGCGCTTCCAGGTCTCGGGCCTGTACGTTCACGGGGTGAAGGAGGGCGGCCTGGTCGCCGAGACGAACCGGTCCCTGCCGGCGCACGTGCGCCTGCAGCGGGACGACCGCCTGCTGGCCGTGAACGAGACCCGCCTGGATGGCATCGACAGCACCATGCCGGAGTGGCCGGTCCGCGCAGAGGCTGCGGCCCAGGCGTTGTCGTTCTCGTTGCAGGTGACCATGCAGGCGCGTCGCCGCGCAGAAGCGGGCGGGGCAGGGTGGGGCAGCTCGGCAGACGCCGCGGAAGACCTGTCGCGGGTCGTTGAAAGTAGGTATTTTGGGTATCCAGATCCCCATCTACTTTAGGCGCCTTCCTACTTCAAGCGTCGAGCACTTGTCCTTCTTCCCTCCTCTTCAGGGGGCGGGCGGAAATCCAATATATGTACTTCCAACGCCTTATTACGTCATGTTTCTACCCACTTCTTCCGACCGACGGGTATATTTATATATGTATATATATATATATATGTATGTATATAGAGAGAGGTGCCGTACAGCGTTGGCGTCTCCTGAGGCGTTGGTGCGGTGGTTTCGGCTCTCGGAGCCGAAATATTCTGCCACGTATGGCGTTGGAGCGAGGCCGGAAGGGAGTCAACACATAGTACGGGGTATAAGCGCCGTTCTCGTGTCGAAGGCATCGGTGGTTTTATCTTCGAGACCCAACCGCGCGGACTCCTAAGAAGCCGTCTTGAAGGGAGCTTCCGGGCCCCTCAAGAAGGAGCCCTCGTCCTCTTCAGGCGGCCCTCCCCGCTCGCTTCGAAGCCAGCAGCCGAGCCGCCCGCGGCCGTGACGACGAGAACTGTTCTCCGCACGACGCCCAGGAGCCTCCGACGCGAAGGCGTTGGCGCCGTCGTCGAGGAGGCCCAGGGTCCCCAACCCCTCCGCCCTCCAAAGTCCACCGGTGCGCCCTTTAGGCGCCGCGTCATGGGAGGGCGGTACATGGAGGGGCAGCAAGCTGCAGAAGAGGACCCCCTTCGAGCCCCGGCCCTTTGGGGCCCAAAGGAGGCCTTTAGAGCCCGAGAAGGGCACCCCTTCTCCCCCCCCCCCCCCGCCTCCCCGCCTTCGTCGCCCCCCCCCGTCGTGGAGCGACGCCCAAGCCCTGGCCAGAGTTTAGAGGAGACTCCGACCGTGGCGGCCAGAAGCGTCGTGGACTCCCACGGGCCCAGATCTCTGACGCCGTGCGTTCTTCCCCGGAGGTCTGGACTTAGGTCGGGCATGTCCCCCTACAGGCGGATTCTGGGCGAAAATTCAAACAAATCATCAAACATCATCAAAAGTGGTAAAACAAAACATCGTCTCCAGACTATTTTCGGATTATTTTTTAACATGCATCCTGTAGAAGGACATGCCCGACTTATGTCTGGAACCCTTTCCCGTCTTGCGTGCCGAGGCGTTTGTTGATGGTCTCGAGGGCCCCGAGTGACCGCAGGTTGTCATAACCTCCCGCCGCAACTCGTCCCTGCCGAGGGGAGGTTCGGTAAGGCACACGGCGCCCGACAACAGCATCCCCGCACGACGACGATGACGGGCAACGTTAGGGGGGATAGGCTCAGAGGGGATGATACCCCTACTCATAGGGGGGATAGGTTCAGGAGGGATAGGCTCAGGGAGGATAGGCTCAGGATGTTAGGAGGGATAGGCTCAGGGGGGATAGGCTCAGGGGGGATAGGCTCAGGGAGGACAGGCTCAGGGGGGACAGGCTCAGGGGAGGTGACCCCCAATCGCCCACTCATCCCCGACAGTGGCCTGGTAGCCCGCCTTGCCCAGGAGCGTGCGGTTTCGCTGAGGATAAGGGTCCGACCGCCAATCCATCGGCGAGGCGTCGCCGATTCGAGCATGACGTCCCCCCCCCCCTGAAAGCCAAGTTGCCGAGGCTTGAGGGTCGTTGCTCGAGGCTCGAGGATGGAGGTTCGAGGATGAGTTTCGAGAGTCGAGGTTCGAGGGTCGAGGGTCGAGGCTCGAGGCTCGAGGCTCGAGGTTCGAGGCTCGAGGGTCGAGGCTCGAGGATGAAGGGTCCAGGGTCAAGGCGCAAGGATGAAGGAACGAGGATCGTGGTTCAAGGATGAAAGAACGAGGATCGAGGGTCAAGGAGCACAGCTCGAGGTTCGAGGCTCGAGGTTCGAGGATTGAGGGCCGAGGTTCGAGGTTCGGGGATCGAGTCTCGAAGTTCGAGGCTCGAGCCTCGAGGGTCGAGGTTCGAGCATCGAGGCCTGTTGCCCCTCTCGCTGCCCCTCGGTCGACGCCGCCGGCCGCAGGTGCGCCGGCCGACCTCCGAGGCCAGCCTGGCGGCGGGCGCGTCCCCGCCGCGCGTCTGCATGGAGGCGCCGCGGGAGGCCGCGGCCGCCGCGCGAGCGCCGGGCCCGCCGGACCCCCGGGCGCAGGGCAGGTCTCGGGGCTCAAAAGAGGCGGGGGTCCACGCAAGCGGGGGTCCGTCAGGGCTGCTGGATCTTGCAGGATCCTGCAGGGCCAGGGGTGCACCGAGCTGGGTTTGGGTGCAGGGTCCTGTAGGATCTCGCAGGGCCTGGCTGACCTGGGTCTGGGTTGACCCAGGTCAGAGGATCCCCGAAGGTCGCCAGGGCAGAGCCAGCATTCGTCACAGGGTGAAGCACCATGGGCCTCCCAGACGGGGTGAGTGTTCGTCACGCGCCGCCGAGGGGAGTCCGCGGACGAGTTGGGTGTACACTGCCGCGTTGGCGTCTGCGGAGGCGTTGTCGATCCTCGACCTGGGCACGGTGCGACGCACAGTCCTTCGGCCCGCAGAACCGAAGAGCTAAGCGGCTCGATGTGAAGCCCGATTTCTTTATCGCCGGCGTCGCCGACGCACCGCTGACGTCGCCGATGCACCGTCAATACACCGCCGATGCATCAGTGATGCATCAGCGACGCGGGCAGGTTCGAGGTTCTGGGTTCTGGAATGTCCTTTTGCCTTTTTCGGCCTCCGGGGGCCGTTTTCGGGCCCCGCGACTGTGAAAACGGATCCGGGAGGGAAAACCATACCAAAGGGACCGATTTTGAGCGGAGTTGGCCTCATCCCCCCTCCTGGCCGATTTTCTGGGCGCTCCCATCCAGTTCAACCCCTGGCCGCCTCCAACGTCGGGCCCCCTCTGCAGGATTGTCGTTGCCGCGGCCGCTCCGCTTCGAGTGTCTCTTGGTGTGAGCGGCCACCCTCGAGAAAGTTTGGGGGGCCAGTCTTGAGGGAGGAGGGAGAAGGGCCCAGATCGTCGACGTCATGGGGGAATGAAGACGGAGCTTGTTGTTGCATCGTTCGATCCCCTGGAGCCGCCCCTGGGCCCTTGGACAGTCAAGAACGGCTCAGGATAAAAATACCCCTCCTAAGTTACCGTTGGAACTTCCATGACCCCCCCGCATAATATCTGTGTGTGTGCATGTGTGTATGTGTGTATGTATATAGTTTTGTAGTTACCTATGCATGCATGTAGGTAGGTAGGTGGGTAGGTAGCTAGCTAGGTAGGTCGGTAGGTCGGTAGGTATTTCTGTACGTATGTCTGGGCCTGACCGTCTGTCTGGCAGCTATGTTGTCGCCGTCGCCGCCCTGTCGTCGCCTCGTCGCCGCCAGTCGTCAGGGCCTGACCGTCGCTCTGGTCGATCTGTTGTCCCCGTCGCCGTCTCGTCGCCGCCCGTTGTCTGGGCATGACCGTCGGTCGGGTGGCTATATTGTCGCCGTCGCCGTCGCCGCCTCGTTGCCGCCCGTCGTCTGGGCCTGACCGTCGGACTGGCGGCCATGTTGTCGCCGTCGCCGCCTCGTCGCCGCCCGTCACATTGCACCACGTAGATGCACCACATAGATCTTCATTACTGAATGGAATATAGCCCCTGTCCCCCCCCCCCCCGAATTACCGACCCCCCATGGGACACCCCTGGATGGAAGAAACGACACAACTTATAATCCATGAGTAAGCCCATCAAGCCTAGCTAGAACTTGAGCGCGCGCGAAGCGCGCGCGATCGTTTATAGTATGTATGTAGGTGTGTGTGTGTATATATATATATATATATATATATATAATATATCTATATTATATATATGTGCATGTATGTATACATATAACGGCGCACCGGGTCCGGGGGCCCGGGGCCGGGACCTCGACCGCAAATGTGGGCTCCGGGGCTCATTTTCCCTGTGATTTTACAGGGTTTCGGCGTCAAGGAGGGTCCAAGAGGCTCCAGAACAGACGCCGGACGCCCGAAGGTCGTTCTTAGACGCCTAACATGGCCTCGAAGACATTTTCAGAAGTCCCCAAGACATTCCAAGCGACACCAAATAGGGCCCCAAATACAGTTTCAAGCGGCCAAAATAGCTTCATTCTCTTTGTAAAACATACATTTTTAAAACATTGTTTTTTTCGCTGTCGGTACGGCTCACGAAGGGTCCAAGACGTTCGCAAACGTGGGCTCCTGGGATCTCGGGGAGCCCGAAAGCTTCACAGAAGACTGCGAGAAGGCGCCAAGGAAACACCAAGAAACTCCCAAACAGACCCAGGACGTCCGAAAATCGCTGCCAGACGCCCAACATGGTCTCCAAGATTAGCTTCCGAAGCCTCCAAGACACCCCAAGCGACCCCCAACAGGGTCTAAAAAGAGCCGCAAGGAGCCAACATCGTTTCATTCCTGTGGGAAAACGTATATTTTTCGTATGTTCGCCTGTTGGGCTGTCATCGCGTAGAAGTTCCCATGACGGCCTAGGAGGCTCCCAGAAGACATCGGTTACGCGAAAGAGCTCTCGCGTGACCGACCTTGGGCCTCTCTTTCGCTCACCTCGGGGGCCCAAAACTCGCCCAAGAAGGCCCCAAGAGGGCCCCGAGAGCGCCCCAAGAGAGTTCCGAGGTGGCCCGAACAGTTGTCACGCGACAGAGCGCCCGCGTCACCGACCTAGGGCCCCTCTTCCTGCCATCTTGGAGTCCCAGTGGGAACCCAGACTGCACCCGAGAGGGCCACATCAATGCCCCAGGCGAAGCGCCTGAGAACGTCCCAGGTTGGCTTACGTGGCTTCCGAACTTCCGATATCTTTCCAAGATGGATACTTCCTTCACTGACCCCTTTTTCGGCAATCTTGGAGCCCCGATGCGAGCCAAAGGTGGCCCCATCAGGGCCTGCGAGAGAGTCCCAAAGGGGTTCAAGAGGACCCCAAGACCGTCCCAACATCGGTCACGCGAAAGAGCGCTCGCGTGAACGAGCTGGGCCAATTTAGCAGGGGGTTTTAAACGCGATCCCAAGAGCGGTCACGCGAAAGAGCTCCCGCGTGACCGAGCTTTGGTTGTTCTGTCGGCCATCTTTGAGCTCCAGTTGGGGACAGAAATGGCCCCAAGAGGGTCTTGATGTGGGCCCGATTAAGACTCCAAGAGAGATCCACGAGTGCCCAACATAGATCACGCGATAGAGAGCTCGCGTGACCGGCCATGGGCTCTCTTTCGGCAGTCCTCGAGATTCAAGACAAGCCCAAGATGGCCCCGAGAAGGCCCCTAAGAACGCCCCAAGAGGGTTCCAAGAAGGCTTCATCATCGGTCACGCGAGAGAGCGCTCGCGCGACCGATCTTGGGCCGCATTTTCTGTCATCTTGGAATCCCAGTGGAAACGAGAAATTGCCCTAAGAGGGTCTCGAGAGGGCCAGGGGCCCTAAAAGAGCCCCAAGAGGTCACCAAGAACACCCAACAGGGTCTCCAGGAGGCCCTACTTTGCCCCCACGAGGGCTCCAATAATGGCCAACATCGGTCACGCGAAAGAGCTTTCGCGTGACCGACCTTGGGCCTCTCTTTCGCTCACCTCGGGGGCCCGAGACCCGCCCAAGAAGGCCCCAAGAGGGCCCCGAGAGCGCCCCACGAGAGTTCCGAGGTGGCCCAAACAGTTGTCACGCGACAGAGCGCCCGCGTCACCGACCTAGGGCCCCTCTTCCTGCGATCTTGGAGTCCCCGTGGGGACCCAGACTGCACCCAAGAGGGCCTCGAGGGGCCACATCAATGCCCCAGGCGAAGCGCCTGAGAACGTCCCAGGTCGGCTTACATGGCGTCCGAACTTCCGATATCTTTCCAAGATGGATATTTCCTTCACTGAGCAGGTCCACGTTGCGTCTCCGAGCTGGGGGTGACAGGATGTTTCCAGCGAGGGGAGGAGGAGGACGAGGAGGAGGAGAAGGAGGAGGAGAAGAAGGAGAAGGAGGAGGAGGAGGAGGAGGAGGAGGACGACGAAGAGCACGCGGAGGAGGAGGAGGAGGAGGAGGAGGAGGAGCAGGAGCAGGAGCAGGAACAGGAGCAGGAGCAGGAGCAGGAGCAGCAGCAGGAGCAGGAGCAGGAGCATGAGGAGACCGAGCAGGGACGACGACGGGGACCGACGCAGGAGGCGCCGATAGGCTCCCCAGAGGCCCCAAGAGGCTCCCCAAAACATTCCGAGACGCACCTCCCAAGAGGCTCCCCGAGAAGCTCATAATTTGGTTCCCGTAGCAGTTTGGCTCAAGGCTCACGGAGGTGGGCGAGCAAAGGGCCGCTGCCTGTGCGGGCGCCTGCCGCCATGGGCCATCCCGCCCCGGCGTGCTGCGTCTGCCTTGCCACATCCGCACTGGCGCAGGGGGTATACTTGGGCCTCATTGTGCCGCGCTTCATCATCGACGTCTTGCTGTTCATCGCGGGGAATGCCGAACAGGATGATGAAGGGATGGGTGATGGAGAGGCCGCGACCCATCTCATCCTGGGGAGCGCGGCTGGCTATATCATCCTCGTGACCGCCATCGTCACGTCTGCGTCCCGGATCTGCGCGCCGCGTTGCTGCGAGGGACTCGAGAAAGTGGGCCAATGTTGTCCGTGCAAGTGCTTCCTGCACCTGGACACGCCGCTCTACGTAATGGTTGGACTAGGTGTAGTCATGCACGCCGTCACGTTAGTTGTGGATACAGGTGGTGATCCTAGAGTCTTTCGCCTGGCGAGGCTGGTTCACTCGGCTCTGAGCATCGCCGCGATCGTCTGCGCCACCGTCAAATTGTGCGTCGTGGCGCGCTCGTGCTGCCAAAGCTGCTTGCCCGAGATCCAGTCGGCCAGCGCACGGCTGCCCCAGGTCGCCATCGGCCAGCCCGTTGTCGGCCAGCCTGTTGTGGGCCAGCCCGCCCCTGGCGAATCCTCCAAGCCGTCATGATCCGTTTGCCTCGAATGCCCAGGCGCTGTCATGTTTGTCCTGCGCCTGTTGTGCTCCGCCGACGCGCTCCCAATGCGGAGGCAGATTGAAAGCGTTGCTCAGTGCCGCTCGTCGTCTGGCGCGTTCGCGGCGGCGGGCTCTGGGCCTCT